ATCATGTCCGGACGGGATCTGATAGGTATTGCTAAAACTGGCAGTGGCAAGACGTTGGCATTCATTTTACCAATGTTTAGGCACATTCTGGACCAGCCGAGCCTGGAGGATGGCGACGGCGCTATCGCCATCATAATGGCGCCCACGCGTGAACTCTGCATGCAGATCGGCAAGGACATCCGCAAGTTTAGCAAATCGCTGGGCCTGCGGCCAGTTTGTGTTTACGGCGGCACCGGCATCTCCGAACAGATTGCCGAACTGAAGCGTGGGGCCGAGATCATTGTGTGTACGCCCGGTCGCATGATCGACATGCTGGCGGCGAATTCCGGACGTGTGACGAACCTGCGACGCGTCACATATGTCGTCCTGGACGAGGCGGATCGCATGTTTGACATGGGCTTCGAACCGCAGGTGATGCGCATCATCGACAATGTGCGACCGGATCGACAGACGGTCATGTTTAGTGCCACATTTCCGCGACAAATGGAGGCACTTGCGCGTCGCATCCTCAAGAAACCCATCGAGGTGATTGTGGGCGGGCGATCGGTGGTGTGCAAAGATGTCGAACAGAATGTGGTCATCCTCAATGACGATGCCAAGTTCTTTAAGCTGCTGGAGCTGCTCGGCATCTACCAGGAGGCGGGCAGCATCATTGTGTTCGTCGACAAGCAGGAGAACGCCGACATTCTGCTGCGCGACCTCATGAAGGCCTCGTATCCCTGCATGAGTCTGCACGGCGGCATCGATCAATTCGATCGCGACTCCACCATCATCGACTTTAAGTCGGGCAAGGTGCGGCTGCTGATCGCCACCTCGGTGGCGGCACGCGGCCTGGACGTTAAGGATCTCATCCTGGTGGTCAACTACGATGTGCCCAACCACTATGAGGACTATGTGCACAGGTGGGCTTTTATCATTCCGCTTTCAAATATGATGTACATATTAATGATATATATATATATATTAATGTTCTTACAGATGTGGTCGCACTGGACGGGCGGGAAAGAAGGGCAGCGCCTTCACGTTCATCACACCCGAACAGTCGCGCTACGCCGGCGACATTATTCGCGCCTTGGACCTGTCGGGCACTTTGATACCCGCCGAGCTGCAGACCCTTTGGACGGAGTACAAGGCCGCCCAGGAGGCCGAGGGCAAGACGGTGCACACGGGCGGCGGCTTCAGCGGCAAGGGCTTCAAGTTCGACGAGCAGGAGTTCAATGCCGTCAAGGAGAGCAAGAAGCTGCAGAAGGCCGCTTTGGGTCTGGCCGATTCCGACGACGAGGAGGACATCGAGCAGGACATTGACCAACAGATCGAGCAGATCTTCGCGGCCAAACGTACGGTGAAGGACACGTCGGCTGCGGCCACGGCTGCTGCCGCGGTTGCCGCCATTTCCGGAGCAAATCCGGCTTTAGCTTCGGTGGCCGCTCAAGCGGCGGCAGTGGCTGCTGCCGCCAATTTGGCCATGACAGCAACCACCGCCTCTGCGGCAGCGGGTGGTGGCCAAAGTGCGGCCGCCGGCGGAGCCCTTAGCTCCGACAAACTGGAGCTGGCCAAGCGGCTGGCCTCCAAGATCAACAGCAGCAAGAATCTGGACACCAAGAGCAGTGTGGTGGCCAGCGTGGAGCCGCTGCTCAAGGGGCCGCATGTCGCCGGCGCCGCCGCTCCGCTGCTGACCGCTCGCACGGTGGCCGAACAGATGGCCGCCAAGCTGAACAACAAGCTCAACTACCAGCCCAAGGAGGATGAGGAGGGCCTCGGCCCACTGATCGGCGGCACCACCAACTCGTTTACCAAATACGAGGAGGAGCTGGAGATCAACGACTTCCCGCAGCAGGCACGCTGGAAGGTCACCTCCAAGGAGGCCCTCGCCCAGATCTCCGAGTACTCGGAGGCTGGCCTCACCGTGCGCGGCACATACGTGCCGCAGGGCAAGAATCCGCCCGATGGCGAGCGCAAGCTCTACCTGGCCATCGAGAGCTGCAGCGAGCTGGCCGTCCAGAAGGCCAAGCGCGAGATCACGCGGCTAATCAAGGAGGAGCTGCTGAAGCTCAGCTCCGCCCATCACGTCTTCAACAAGGGACGCTACAAGGTGGTCTAGATCTAGATCTAGACCTAGATCCAGACCTAGACCTAGACCTAGACCTAGACCTAGACCTAGACCCACCCAGACACAGAAATAGATACAGATACAGATACAGACACAGACCGGTGGCCCGGTGCTGTAAAGCCTCTCGCTATGATAAGATAATGAACTGTTCCTTGGAACGCATGCGATCAGATAAACATAAGGATTCGTTTCAGACCAAATTGCGTAAGCGTCTTTATTCCAATAAATCGGTTGGATTTATGTATTGTGTTTAATTTGGAGTAAAGATGTTAATAAAAAAAAATCAGTAAAACACGTTTTCAAATTTAAGGGAGTAAATTTAATGGGTTATTTCGCGTAAAAAGGGCACTTTTTTTTTGGGAATTTAAAGAATATTCTAATACATTTTTAAAGGGAAAATGAAAAATATAAAACGTTATTTTAAGGCAAAAAAGAAAAAAATATAATACATATTTGATAAACTTGGGGGAGTAGTTTAAAAAATTCTTTTTTTTTATACAATATTCTATACAAAATCAAAGCACAATTACTTTTAGTTGTCCCTATTTCAATTTCAGTTCCTATATTGAATATAGAAAATTTTACTTATTTTTTCAAAATGGATTTAACTAAATGCAAATCATAAAAATAAAAACTCATTTGGTTAATAACTAATAACCATTCGATTGAAATACAAATTTAAAAGGTTTAAATCAAATCTATATATCTTATGACCCACAGCATTGGGTGAAAACCAATGAATATTGTCCCCAAATATCGAACGCAGTTAAAACTCATTAATGGTTTTCTTATTTTTTGTTGCTTTTTTGCTGCATTTTTATTATTTACTTATATATCTCCGCCAGCACTCGAGCGCTGCAATCAATTGATTTTCATGCTACAGTATTTCTTGTGTCTAGAAACTACTAAAATTAAATTTAAATGTAGTTATGAGTTTGGGCATGTCCGTTATCAATGGTATGTATTATAATTTTTTATAAATATTATTATGCGCATTTTGTTTTGGTTTTATGAAAAAAATTGTATGTTTTATATATTTGGTTTTACATTTTTATTATGCACTAATTTGTCGGCAAAATGTTTCTTGTTCATTTTCATTTGATACAAAACTATGAGTTATATTATATTTAGGTTTTGTTTAAAATTATTATTGAATTTCGCGCTTGCCTTGACTTTGGGTTTTTGGGTTTTTTCTTTATTTTATTTTTTTTATGGCTACTCATTCAAAATCACTCACACGCATATATATATGTATATATATATATATACCATTATCCAATACCTTTATATTGTTTCTTCTTTTTATATGTACAATTCTAGTTAAAACTATGAAATGTGCTAAATTATACAATAAAAAAAAAAACAAAAAAAAAATGTTATGTATAGTATAATTTATTTTTTTAAAATTCTTTATATATATACTATATATTTATATGTAATTCATAGTTGTCATAGAGTTGTTTGTTTTTATTTATATATGATTTTTTTGTTTCTCTTTCTGCATTAGTTTAGTTTAGTTTGGCAACATTTTAAATTCGTTGCAATATCTCCAGTTGCTGCTAACATTTTTTTTTGCTTTTTAGGTTTAGGTTTTATTCTCCTTTTTGCATTAGTTTACTTATAATTAGACAAAAAAAAATTAAATTATGCCTTTGCTTAGCTGTGTGGTTTTTTTTTTTGGGTGTGTGGGGGGATGGTTAAATCAGGGATAATTTGGGGCAAAGGATTACGGATTAAGGACTAGTTTGCTTTGGCTGGGACTGGAACTGGGAATGGGACTTCTACTGTAAGATAGCTGAAAATCCTCTTGTTTCTGGTTTCCTTTGGCTACAGTTGTTGTGTGGGTGTGTTTATATTGCTGCGGTATTTACAATCGAATCAAAGTTCCCTATATGTATATAGTATATATACAGTGGCTAATGCATATCGCTTGTTTTTTTTTGTTTTTTTGTTTTTGCTTCTTTTTTGGGGCATGTGTGCGGGTTGTCTGTGTAGTGGTTGCTCGTGCTGTTCTTGCTGCAAAGTTGTAGTTGCAACTTGCAGCTCATGTTGCTGCTGTGGCTGCAATTTCCATTGCTGCTGTTGCTGTTGTTGCCGATGTCAATGCTCTTTTTTTTTTTTTGTTGTCCAGCTCTAGTCCACATTAATTTTGCCTTTTTCCTTAGATTTATAAGCTTAGATTCTTATTATCGGATCACTTGAAGCAATTTCTTGGCATTCTTTTGGTCTTTGTGTGTCTGTCTGTGTAGTGTGTGTGTGTGTGTGAGTGTGTGTGTATGTGTGTTATCCTGTGTATCCATGTCGTGTATCCTTGTTGTTGGGCAGTAGCAGATTGGGGATTCTCTTTTTGGAGGGGGAAGGCCCGTGTTCAATTGATTTATCATTTCAATTTGTTCTTCGCTTTTTAGCTCGTTTTTGTTCTGGAAAAAAAAGAATATAAATAAATGGCTTAGTTTGCTCAATTTATTTGCAGTTTTGCGTGAAGTACAGATAGAAGAATAATGTTGCAATTAAAGTGGGCAATACTCTATTTTCTTGTAAGAACAAAATATATACCTAAACTATATTATGAGGAACAAAATTTGATTAAAGTATACACATGTTTTTAATGCAAACAAATTGTTTTTTTAATGAAATACTTTTAGAGATTTAATGTACAAAGTTTTGATTGTAACAAAATATGATTTTTTTTAATTGTTCCAAAATTTTATAAAAGCTTAAATTAATTCAATATTAAAATGTATTTAATATTTAAATGCAAATTTAAAATATTTAAGAAACATTTCTTAACCTACTTCTTGAAAATAAATTCTGCTTTTACTTTTACCCATTTCGAAAAAAAAAATAGTTGTTTAGTGTACAATATAGTTATTTGCTTTGCTTGGCTTACCTTTTTCTTTTATACAATTCAATAAATTATTGCATTTGATATGTTGGTCCATTGTTTCATTATTCGTTCCTAAAAAAATTCTTTTATTTCTTGGTATTCATTTAGCATTCATGTTTATTTTTGTTTCGTTTATTATATGCAACCGATGTGTTCTCCGTTCACTTTTTTGGGGGGTAGCTTCTCTGAATGGTTGGGAGGAAAATCGGGCGATATACTGGAGTGGGGGGGTTATAAATGTTATAGTTGTGTATGCTGCTATTATTAGTATTTATTCTGGCCGATTTTGCGCCGCTGCTTGGTTGATTACTGAGTGAAAGATATAGAGAGAAGTTGCTCATGTTGCTGTTGATGTGATGGTGTTGCTGGTGTTGCTGCTGCTTCTGCATGGCAATTGGATTCGTTGCGAATACTACATGTGTGTGGAACAGGAACAGGATCAGTAACTGGATCAGTATCAGTATCGGTATTGGAATCGGACTCAGGATCAGGATCAGAACCAGAATCAGAATCACTAAAGGTAATAGTCGCCCAGACACGCCGATGTTGCTGCCGTTCCCAATGTTGCCGCTGCCGCTCCAGCTGCTGCCGCCGTGTTTACCGCCGCCGCTGCCGTCATAAACGACTATCAGTATCCAAATCCCGCCGAACCGTGGCCAGTCATTGAGGGTGTTACACTACTAACTATACCTAATTGTGTGGCTGTATTATTTGATTGTCAGTGTTGTTGAGCGGCAAATTTCATACGTTTTTGTTTTTGACGTTGATTGCAGAACCAGACGCGCACCACGTTTTTCTTCAAATCCAGCTTTTCGGCAATGGCAGCGATTTTCTCACCGGATGGCCTCGGCTGCACGGCAAAGTAGGCTTCCAGGGAACGCTTTTCAGGTGCCGCAATGGAAGTCCTTTTTCTTGAAAAAAGACTCGATATAGATTACTTTAGAAGCGGGGCCCTAGGCTGCGGGACGGTATCGGTATTCGGTATTCGGTATTCGGTAAACGGTATACGGTATGGTGAATAATGGTGGTGCTGATATGGTCGATCGATGCGAATAATCCTACTTTTCGATAACTTTGTTTTTGCTTGTATTACTTGGGGATTGACTTACAATAGCCCATAATCGATATTAAATTAAATTAAGTAAAGTATGCTTTCACAAATTTCTTCTTTTTTTCATCATAAATATGTTTTTTAGTCTTATTATCAGAATTGTTAAAAAATAGCTTTTAAAAAATTAAATAAAAATTTGCTGCTTAATTTTATTTAATTTCAAATACATACCATAAAATACAATATGAATTTTGAATATATACATATATCAAACATAAATAGTTAAAATCATTTTGTAATTATTAAAAAATAAATTGTATAATTTAAGTTATCAGACTTTTACTTAAAACATAAATTCGTAAATAATAAAACTTAAAAAACATAAGCCAACATTTAATTATAAAATATAACTTTAAGCAAATTATACTTCAAAAACAGATGGCGCTACCAAAAACAAAACAAAAGCGCTTTACGAACTTTAAACCTACTATCAAATTGAACATGCAGAAAAACTTGATTGTTAGATGGCGCTTTCAAGAGTTTTTATCATATCAACCTTGTTCTTCGGAACAAATCAAATCAATTGGTTATTCAACAGCTGGTCAAAAGTTATCGTTAATAAATAATTATACTTCTAAATTCGATTATGTACTATCTGTCAGCTGGGCTATAATTCAAGGTGTTTTTGGTGTTTGGCCAATTGCTTCGCGCTCAGATGCTGGAGGTGGGTGCTCTGGGTGTGGGTATGACTATGGGTATGGGTCTGGCTCTGGGATGGTGGCTTAGCCATTTCTCATCAGAATGGGGAGTGGACTTGGGCTGGGGCTGGGGCTGGGGCTGGACTGGTCTGGGAGGGGGCTGGGCTAGGCTACCGGGTCAATTAAAACACTTTCTACCTTTTCTTTTCGCCCGCCGGCAGGACACTGGGCGCGTCCGGGTCGCGTCGCTTGTTTTTCGCCTGCGCCTCGGCCTCCTCGAGCCACGCCTGCAGGATGGGCTTCAGGGCGATCATGTTGTTGTGCGACAGCGTCAGGCTCTCGAATCGACAGATCGTGCTCTGCGACAGTGCGCCGACGCCAGGTAACTTGAGATTGGCCAGGGCCTTGCCCACGTCCGCCTGCGTGACACCTGCAATTTGCGCAACAAATTAACCATTAACAGTTCTCGAATGACTGCAAAACAAAACAAAAACAAACAAATTAAACCTAGCTCTGCGCTTTCCCTAGATTTATTATTACTATTTTTATTATTATTATTATTTTGAGAAAGTTACAAAGAAAAAACTCCTAAAAATTATCTTATAATTTTTTTGAGAAAGTTTCAAAGGAAAAACTCCTAAAAAATATCTTAAAACGCAAAAGTAGTCAGTATTTTAAGTGCGAGTATTATTTTGACAAAGTTACAACGAAAAAAATCTTAAAAAGTATAGTTTTCCTAAATATCTTGAATCACAAAAATCGCTTATTTGTATCCAAACCCTGAATAATAACATAAATTGCAACATTCTTAAAGCAAAATTTACATGAAAAAGTTTGAACTTTTAGTCAATAATTATTGATCTTAACAAATGTGGCTATATCATTTTTTTATATGTTACCTAATTTTTTTTGTCAAACTTAATTTGGACAGGGAACTTACCCAGCTTGATGCGCCGCTGCTTGAACCGCTCCGCAAACGCCTCCAGCTCGCGAGGATCGGTGTCGGTGTCGGGATGCAGGCCAGCGGCTGCCACCGCCGCCGTGATAACAGGATGATGTACCGCTGAGTGTCCATGGTGTCCTGGATGCGTGGGAGGAGCAGGAAGTGGGACCATGATAATAGGGGGGGAAACAGGAACAAGGCCTCCGCGGAGCAGAGCTGGAGTTGGAGCATCACTTACCCCCCGTGTGGCCACTTAGCGTGCCCGGATGGTGGTGGCTCATCATGTGATTCATGCTGTGATAGGAACCGTGCAGGTGCTGGTGTGTGGGCGTCAGAGGGGACTCCGAGATGGGCGCCAACGTGGTCATCGAGCCCGTCGGATCCAGCATGTCCAGCTGGTCCATCGAGTGGTGCATCTGTCGAGAAAAAGGATTTTCCTAAATAGCATTGGAATGGAAATAAACTTCATTAAAAACTAGCAGAGTCAAGTAAGAAGCTTTACAATCGTTTGAAACAATCCCCCAAAACTTATATTTTAATATATTTATGGATATAAAAAACAATAAGTAATAGTGGTTGATACCATAAAATATCCTTAATAAGAATACATCTTTAAGAAAATTTTTCAACGACAAAATGCGTGACGAATATTTTAACTTTTTAAGGAGCTTTCATAAGTGAATCAAATATGATTTATTAATTTATAAAATAATATTTCTAATTGTAAAATAATATCTATATTAATATAACTGTTTAGAACTTTTTATGTAAATCAAATGTTTATGTTTACAATATTTTAAAATGCCTAATGAATTTAAAATAAAAAAGTTTTCATAAATATAAATAAAGAGCGCGTGTGATTAAAGCAGCATTGAACTAACTTCTCATTTTATGTCTGTCTTTGAAGATAAACGGATAGGCAATGAAATATTTAATTATGCTTATATAAGTCACACGAATATACTAATACACATTCACCCAAAGTCCAAGAGCCCAAGAAAAACAAATACAAATCCCGCATAATTATCTTTTTGTGTGTGTACCTACTTAAATGGAATTATCTTAAACGCCATCATTATCGGGCTAATCATTATCATTGTAATCATGGCCCACGGCTGTCCCCCTTGAAAGTCCCCTCTGGCAGATAATTTGTAAAGTTTTCCACTCACGGCATAAGAAATGTGTTTAAAGCTACCTCTAATTAAAGTTCCCGGTCGTACCCCATCCATCCTGACAATAACTGACAACCCTTTTACCCGAAGTTGCACTTGTTACTTTTCCGATGGGGGGCGGAGATTTGGGGGGGAGGGGGAGGTAAGGATCCCCTTTTGGCAGCTTTAATTGAACGGGAAATCAGGCCCATACACACACACACACACACACACTCAGTCAAAAACACAAGCGACTGAGAGCGAAACGAAACGAAACGAAATGGAACGGATACGGATACGGATACGAGGGCGCTCGCAACTCTTTTGTCTAGGCATCAAATATTTATAGAATTGTTCAATTATTTATACAAATATGAATAGCAACTAAAAAGCTGAAGCAGCAGCTCCTTGTGCCCCTCCTTTTGCCTTTGTGTTGCTTTGTTAAGCATTTAAACTGATTACAGCTGAAAAGTATGCTACAACAGAACGCCAAATAGACCGGATGGCCTCTCTCTGCCTGCCTCTTTCTAAGTCCCTATTTCCTTCTATTTCTCCTTCTCCCTTTCTCTTTCCCTATTTTACTCCCTCCCCCGAATGTTTGAGCCGCTTTTCCAGTTACCATTTTCATTTGAATGGGCCAAGGGGCGTTGTGCATTGGGGGACTGGGGGTTTTTAGGGCTGTGGGTGGGGTCACTCATATTTATTTATCTTTTTGTGAATGTGGCGCAGTCGGGCGGGTAAAACTAGCGCTTAGTTCTGCTCTCCTATGTACAGTCGGCAAACATACCACGCCCCCACTGACGAAAGCCGGAAAATGGACACAGTTACGGAAAATCGGACCCGGACCCGGACCCCTACCCAATTATGTAAAACTCTAAAATGATAAGGAGCGGCCTATGGAGAACAATAAGACATATGTATGTATATGTATTTGCGTATTTGTGTGTTTATGTGGATGGTAAAAACTATGTGGACGTGGATGAAGACTACCCCCGACCCAATGTTTTCGTGCCGAATACAATGGCAAACTCTTCAATTATAAACCAATCCCAAAATTAGTCTGACGGTTATTGGTTTGCACCCTTGGCGCTCGCTCTCTCGCTCTCTCGTTCTCGCAATCGCTCAGCTCTCAGTCCATCCCACTCACACTGGGCCATTCGAAGGGGGCCATGCGTCTCTTTTGTACGCATAAGTGCCGTCTCTGTCGTCGCAGAGAGCAGAGAACCACCCTGCGCAAAAGAACCGGAATGCGGTACCCAAAAATCCGGGACTGGAGCGAGGGAGAGGGCGCCAGAGAGCGAGCGAGAGAGAGAGAAAGAGAGAGAGAGAGAGTGGAGATCCGGAGCCGGAGACGGAGACTTTGGCCGTGGACCCGGCGAGCCGTATAGCCAAAAAACCCACCGTAGACCCGTAATACCGTAGTTCCGTAGATGTGCTGCATTGTGGTTGGCTGGGGCTTATGCAAAATTCATGTGGGCAGTGCCGATGTCGCTGCCAGCGTTAACGTTACCGTTACCGTTAACGTCAACGTCAGCATCGAAGGATATACAGTCCACCCGCAATGCCACCCACCCGCCTGCCTCTTTTTTTGCCTCCGTTTCCGTCTTTGTCCCAGTCCCTGTCCGCATCCAACCACCCAACACCACCCCCTTCGGAAAAGTCCCTCTGCTAGCAGTTTCATTAGGCGCATAATTTGTAATTAATAAAATTATTGAAAGGGAGCCAACGGCTCTAACTTAAGGTTCACACGAAAAAATCTGCATAAAAAATTTAATAATAAATAATAAATAATTAAAGTCAGTTTCGTAAATGTCAATCAATATATTAAAGTTTTATAATGCTCTGAGAAATTTTAAAAAATGTTATTTAAGACTCTTTTAGATTACTTAAATAAAGCTTAAAACTAAATTATTCTTTATATTAACCTATATGAAAAACTAGTAAAAGCTAAGAATTAAAATATATAAAGTAATTTGAAATGAAGTATTTAAAAATAAACAATAAAAATATTAAAGGTAGACAAGAAATATAAAGAGAGGGGCAGAAATAAATTAATAAAGAAAAACTAATTCTTTGGCATATACGATAAATTACAATAATATTATTAATATACCAATTAATCAGCAATTTATATGATTTAGAAATGTTAAAACAATTTGTATATAAAAAACACTTTTTAAGACTTAATCTGTAACTGCTCATAAATAAATAAATAAATATTTATTTCAATTTTACCATTACCATTTTTTATAGTGTATGGAAAACAATGTATCCCGATTTGAAGCATCGGAGGCAGAGCGAGATGGCGAAGTGGGTGTGTAAGTGAGTTGGGTGTGGGTGTGGCGTGCCACATATCTCCACCTCTTTTTTTGGCCGGCGGACAAATCAAATGCAACAATAGAAGACAATTTGCAACAAAACGGATACAAATAAATACGAGTAGCGAACCGGAAAAAGAGAAAACAATTGCACTGCTGCCAAATTGCCAAATGCTGTCTGCATTGATTTTCTACTGCAACATGTATATATATATATATATATACATATAGCTATATAAATTTATATATATCTGCTCTGCAGCAGCGGCGTCAGTCGAGCATCAATCACATATAGCTTATAATGTGTATATGTGCATGAAGGCGCCATTTTAAGTAGGAAATTCTCTAAATATAAGTCCATACTTTGAAAAGATTTAAAATTAACATTTTTTAAAAAGAAGCAAATATGAAGGAAATCTGTTTTAATTACGAAAAATTTAAGTTTTTTGTCTCTTTTTTTTTCTTGCATATGTTTAAAAAAAAGTATATTTCTTATTTACTTTATATTTATTTGTTTTACTTTTCTCCAAAAGAGTATTCCGCTGTCAATAGCTTTTTTTTCCATCCAAGAATTGTTTTTCTTACTTGCTTCATGATTTATTAACAAATTTGCGAACATAATTTATTTATTTGCCGTTTGTTGATAAACATGTGACTGGGTCTCTCCATCTCTGTCACTCTCTTGGCACTTATTTTCCTATTTCCTTTCTGGCATTTCCCCCTGATTGTTTACGCGCAAATGACCTCATTATATATATAATGTAATTTGTTGTTGTCACACTGGGTTCCTTTTCTCTATTTTTTTCCATCTTGTTTTGACATAATAAAGCGTTTTTGGCGCAATTTGTTATATCTTTTGTCTTTGTTTTTGTTTGTTGTCTGTCTGCCAGCACTCGCTTCCTCCCTTTAGTCTCCTTCTCCCCATATCGCGGTCTCCCTCTTCGTTCTTCGTTTGCATGTATGTGCGCTTTGTTATTGTTCATTAATTTTTAAGCATTGTTAATATATCATGGCGGTGACTTTTGTCACCTAGCAAGTTTTTCCTCTGTCAGATTTCGTAGCACACTTTTCTGCGCCTGCCATTAGGGCAGAATTTAAAATAAACGATTGTAGGAGTATTTGTGGCGGAGATTTTCCACTTGAATATGTCACCAATTAATATTGGTTGCTCCCCTTCTTAACTAATTATTAATAATATTAACTTCTTCTCAACTGGCAATTTTTTTCACATAAATGTGAAAATTGGTCAAAAAATGAATTTCTTCAAAAAGTGTATTTTAAAAAATCGGTTTTTTCATACACCGTTGAATTCGTAATAAAATTTCCAATCGAATGGCATTAACAGTTGAAATTTTTTCAGATTTTCAAATTTCTGCAAAAATTGATGATGTACCCCCTTACAAAAAAGTCAGAAATTCGGACATAAATAAATTTTTCAAAAAACGTTTTTCAAAATTCGGTTTTTTTGTCAAAATTAAATTAATTGTTTTCAATCGATCAGGGATGGATAATATAGGTTGCTAGCTGTCCAAAATAGCAACTCTTTTGACTTTGGGTCTTATTTTGGCAAAGTTACAACAAAAAGACTCTTCAGAAATAATTTTGTTTGAAAAATCGCCAAAAATCCCAAAAAACACATTAAAAACTTGATTTTTGTGTCAAAACCCTGGGAAATAATAGTCAAGTGTTAGAATGTCATACACCGTTGAATTCGTAATAAAATTTCCAATCGAATGGCATTAACAGTTGAAATTTTTTCAGATTTTCAAATTTCTGCAAAAATTGATGATGTACCCCCTTACAAAAAAGTCAGAAATTCGGACATAAATAAATTTTTCAAAAAACGTTTTTCAAAATTCGGTTTTTTTGTCAAAATTAAATTAATTGTTTTCAATCGATCAGGGATGGATAATATAGGTTGCTAGCTGTCCAAAATAGCAACTCTTTTGACTTTGGGTCTTATTTTGGCAAAGTTACAACAAAAAGACTCTTAAGAAATAATTTTGTTTGAAAAATCGCCAAAAATCCCAAAAAACACATTAAAAACTTGATTTTTGTGTCAAAACCCTGGGAAATAATGGTCAAGTGTTAGAATGTCATACACCGTTGAATTCGTAATAAAATTTCCAATCGAATGGCATTAACAGTTGAAATTTTTTCAGATTTTCAAATTTCTGCAAAAATTGATGATGTACCCCCTTACAAAAAAGTCAGAAATTCGGACATAAATAAATTTTTCAAAAAACGTTTTTCAAAATTCGGTTTTTTTGTCAAAATTAAATTAATTGTTTTCAATCGATCAGGGATGGATAATATAGGTTGCTAGCTGTCCAAAATAGCAACTCTTTTGACTTTGGGTCTTATTTTGGCAAAGTTACAACAAAAAGACTTTTCAGAAATAATTTTGTTTGAAAAATCGCCAAAAATCCCAAAAAACACATTAAAAACTTGATTTTTGTGTCAAAACCCTGGGAAATAATGGTCAAGTGTTAGAATGTCATACACCGTTGAATTCGTAATAAAATTTCCAATCGAATGGCATTAACAGTTGAAATTTTTTCAGATTTTCAAATTTCTGCAAAAATTGATGATGTACCCCCTTACAAAAAAGTCAGAAATTCGGACATAAATAAATTTTTCAAAAAACGTTTTTCAAAATTCGGTTTTTTTGTCAAAATTAAATTAATTGTTTTCAATCGATCAGGGATGAATAATATAGGTTGCTAGCTGTCCAAAATAGCAACTCTTTTGACTTTGGGTCTTATTTTGGCAAAGTTACAACAAAAAGACTCTTCAGAAATAATTTTGTTTGAAAAATCGCCAAAAATCCCAAAAAACACATTAAAAACTTGGTTTTTGTGTCAAAACCCTGGGAAATAATGGTCAAGTGTTAGAATGTCATACACCGTTGAATTCGTAATAAAATTTCCAATCGAATGGCATTAACAGTTGAAATTTTTTCAGATTTTCAAATTTCTGCAAAAATTAATGATGTACCCCCTTACAAAAAAGTCCGAAATTCGGACATAAATAAATTTTTCAAAAAACGTTTTTCAAAATTCGGTTTTTTTGTCAAAACTAAATTAATTGTTTTCAATCGATCAGGGATGGATAATATAGGTTGCTAGCTGTCCAAAATAGCAACTCTTTTGACTTTGGGACTTATTTTGGCAAAGTTACAACAAAAAGACTCTTCAGAAATAATTTTGTTTGAAAAATCGCCAAAAATCCCAAAAAACACATTAAAAACTTGGTTTTTGTGTCAAAACCCTGGGAAATAATGGTCAAGTGTTAGAATGTCATACACCGTTGAATTCGTAATAAAATTTCCAATCGAATGGCATTAACAGTTGAAACTTTTTCAGATTTTCAAATTTCTGCAAAAATTGATGATGTACCCCCTTACAAAAAAGTGAGAAATTTGGAAATAAATAAATTGTTCAAAAAACGTTTTTCAAAATCCCGTTTTTGGGACAAAATTAAATTATTTGTTTTAAATCGATCGGGGACGGATGGTATAGGTTGCTAGCTGTTCAAAATAGCAACTAGTTTGACTTTGGGTCTTATTTTGGCAAAGTTACAACAAAAAGGCTCTTCAGAAATTATTTTGTTTGAAAAATCGCCAAAAAACCTAAAAAACATATTAAAAACATGGTTTTTGCGTCAAAAGCCTGGGAAATAATTGTCAAATGTTGGAGTGTCATACACTGTTGAATTCGTAATAAAATTTCCAATCGAATGGCATTAACAGTTGAAATTTTTTCAGATTTTCAAATTTCTGCAAAAATTGATGATGTACCCCCTTACAAAAAAGTCAGAAATTCGGACATAAATAAATTTTTCAAAAAACGTTTTTCAAAATTCGGTTTTTTTGTCAAAATTAAATTAATTGTTTTCAATCGATCAGGGATGGATAATATAGGTTGCTAGCTGTCCAAAATAGCAACTCTTTTGACTTTGGGTCTTATTTTGGCAAAGTTACAACAAAAAGACTCTTCAGAAATAATTTTGTTTGAAAAATCGCCAAAAATCCCAAAAAAACACATTAAAAACTTGGTTTTTGCGTCAAAAGCCTGGGAAATAATTGTCAAGTGTTAGAATGTCATACACCGTTGAATTCGTAATAAAATTTCCAATCGAATGGCATTAACAGTTGAAATTTTTTCAGATTTTCAAATTTCTGCAAAAATTGATGATGTACCCCCTTACAAAAAAGTCAGAAATTCGGACATAAATAAATTTTTCAAAAAACGTTTTTCAAAATTCGGTTTTTTTGTCAAAATTAAATTAATTGTTTTCAATCGATCAGGGATGGATAATATAGGTTGCTAGCTGTCCAAAATAGCAACTCTTTTGACTTTGGGTCTTATTTTGGCAAAGTTACAACAAAAAGACTCTTCAGAAATAATTTTGTTTGAAAAATCGCCAAAAATCCCAAAAAAACACATTAAAAACTTGGTTTTTGCGTCAAAAGCCTGGGAAATAATTGTCAAATGTTAGAATGTCATACTCCGTTGAATTCGTCATGAAGTAACCCCTTGGCCAAGTAACAGTTAAGCCAATATGACCAATATAGGCCATCAGACCAATATAAGCCCAAGATCGTTAAACAACTAATTGAACTCAATAGAAGTCTTTATTTACAAGCAAAGTGCGGATTAAGACCATCAGCTCATCGAATCCCACTTCGATCCAGTAGACGACAGCAAAGTAATGATTTGATTTCGATTCGATGTGTCGATGTGTCGATGTGTGGATTATGTCGATTCTGTCGTTATATCGTGTATGTGAATGAGATTGGGAGTGGTGTTGTGTTTGGTGTGTTAAAGTGTTTCAGTGGTGGAGCCAGAGTTCCGGAGATCTACTTCTTGCGCTTCTCGACGGGCTTGAGGATTTGGAAGGAACACATAAGGGTATCGTCGACGGACATCATGGCACCGGCATTGTCGAATTCACCGCAATAGTTTGGGGCCGAGAAGAGGGTGACCAGCTGCCGCTTGGCGAAGAACTCGTACCCATCCTCGACCACCTGATGGGCGCGACAGATGAGATCGAGGTCGTGCTTCTGCAGGAACTTGCCCACCACCTCGGCGCCAAAGGTGAAGCTCACCCCGCGGTCGTTCTCGCCCCAACCAATGGTATCCTTGTCCGGATCGGACCACAGCAGATCGCAGAGCAATCCCTGATCGGGCACATCCGTGGGCCGCATTATGCGGCGTATCTGCTCCATGGAGGTGAGATCCGGACTCAGACCGCCGTGGCAGCAGAAGATCTTCTCGTCCACAATGGCCACCACGGGCAGACAGTTGAAGCAGTCCGTGAAGGTCTTCCACAATTTGATGGTATAGCGGCGCTTGCACTCGTCATAGAACCCATAGATTCGGTTGATGCTGGCGCACTCGTGATTGCCGCGCAGCAGAAAGAAGTTCTCCGGATACTTGATCTTGTAGGCCAGCAGCAGGCAGATGGTCTCCAGCGACTGCTTGCCCCTGTCCACATAGTCGCCCAGGAAGAGGTAATTGGCCTCCGGCGGATAGCCACCGTACTCGAACAGGCGCAACAAGTCGTAATACTGGCCATGAATGTCGCCACAGATCTTGAGCGGCGCCTCCAGTTCGAGTAGTATGGGCTGGGCCAGCAGGATCTCGCGAGACTTGAGGCACAGACCGCGGATCTCACCCTCGGTTATCTGGACATTCTTGCCCGGCCGGGCACCGCGCACCTCCAGCAGCCGGGATATGATGCTATCCAGGTTGAGCACGTCCGTCATGGCGACGTCGGTCTTGCGATCCGCAGCGACGTGATCGTGATCCGGTTTGGATCGATTGGCAGCCTGGGAAGCCGTTGGTGCTGATTCCTCGGGGATTCCCCCTGCTTCTGAAAACCGATGTGTTCTGGCTTGATCCTGCTCAAGCACACGTATTCCTTCTTCTGTTCTTCGATAATCTCGCTAACTTTTCCTATATATATATATATGATTGTATCGGTTTATTTTGTATTTTCCTGATTTATCAATAAAATAATGAATGAACAAAACTATTCGCTTTCATAATGGATTGTTTAAATTACCTAACTCGCTTCGCAACTCCTCTCTTTTTGGGACTTTTATTAATTGCAATTTCTTGATGTATAAACGTTTACTTGTTTATTAGTTTCTTGTTTCGATTTTGTGGGTCTTTAAAACTCTTGACAGATAACTACTTGATCGTGCCAACTCTCTACTTTGATGCAAACGAAAACACTTAATTTAAAATTTAAGATAATATCTATGGATCAATAGATTAATTAGCTGTGAGATGGTCTTAGCTTTTGATGACTTACTCTTTACATTTACTTCTTATGTTGAACATTGATCTTTCGATTCTTGCATTCTTGACCTACTTATCTTGGTCTCGTCCCTTTTAAATTCCTCCTTTTCACTCTTTTGGGGGGCATATGTCTGTCTACTTGCAATCTGAAATCCTTGTTGTGGTTTTAGGTTCATAAAATTCGGCACGCTTGCGGATATGGATGCGGATGCGGAATTATTATCAGATCTTAAAAGGATCTGCACTGCACTCTCGACTGAACCGTAAAGTTCAACGTAGTCTTCAATAGTTGCGGTGGCGTTGAAATTTTGAAACAAATTTTGACTCAGGGACGGTGATCTTTATTTTTTTTTAAAACTAAATGAATGAAAAATCGAAGGCTGACTCTTCAAAAACTATATCATAACATTTGAGGTCACGTATGTTCAGTGTGTATTCAAATATAATTTGACATTTAATGTACCCATTTGTACACTAAGGAGTAAGATTAACATTAAAATTTTGTTTTTAACTTAAAATATTGTAGCGAATTATTTAAATTGAATCCAACAAATACTTGTTGAAAGTACTCGTAACTTTGCCAATTTTTTTCTTTAATGTACCATTTTGAAACAAATTCGAATAACTATACGAATAGATTTAAGTTTGTTTAATCTTTCTGTTCAATTTTTAAAATATTAACTCGTATTTTAAAGAGCTATATATAAATATATATTTAATTTTAATAATTCTTAATTCCAGTTGTTGAAATGTATATCCGTGTTTTGTTGACCATGCTGCAAACTTTCTCGTCTCTTTAATTTTAAGGTGGTCTCCCCTTGCGAAATTGTGCGACCCTCGTCCATCCCATGCCCATTTGTTCTTATTATCTCTGATTGAGTGGAAAACTTGAAGTTCTCGAGTGCCATTTGCAGCGAGGGCTTCCAATTTTACCCGCACTGTTGTATGTGAGCTTATTTCGGGGTGATTCCATTTCGGCGGCCTCTTTAGTGTGGCCCGTAATTAGCTGCAATTTGTTAGCGCAACTTGAAAAATTGCAGTGTAAACAGTGCTGAAGTGGGTTAGAGAATGCAGTGGCCTTATAATGAGGCAACAAACTGGGTTCATCGTACCTTTGCACAATCTACAATTTTCACCCACATCCATATATAATGTATAAGATATACAATATACAATATACCATTTCACCGCAGCAACTGCGACTACTGATTGAACTGTTTTTCGGCAGGGTTACACCTGCCACAGGAGGCTGGCTCCACTGTACATGTATACAGTGTCCTTTATCGTGTGACTGTGACCTGTGTCCTGCCTGGCACCGCAAAACAAACAGCAAACATGGCCAGAGCAACAGCAACAGCAACAGCAATAGCAACAGCAACAGCAATAGCAACAGCAACAGCATCGTTTATTTTGGGGAAACAAAGGACCTCATTTCCCCGCCATTTGTTTAACCAGCAAGCCAGCAAGGACAACAACGGCAAAGTTTTATAAATGGCTTGGCCATTGTTGAACGGCTGCCGCTGTTTGTTGAAATTAATTGGTGTTACACAAATGAGTAATTTTCAATGTACATAAATATTTGCACAAATTGCAATTTACCCAGGCCAATACTCTCGCATCGAGTGTGTACAAGTATATATCGTGGGGTGCACCTTTTCTCGAGTGCTGCTCAAATACCAATTTTTATTGTCAAGCGTTAATAATTTGGAACAATGAATAATATGAACGGTAAGCATCTGTTATTATTCCAAACAAATCAAAACAAGTGCAGTCGATGGGCGAGGGCGTAAGCGAGTGGGCGGGGTCGACTTCAGAGGATTGAAGAGTTCTGAAGTTCTGAAGTCCTGAATTCTGAATCCTGAATCCTGGATCCTCCCCTTCGCTTTTATATCCTGGCCACACACAAATCTTCATAAATTGCAACTGCCGGGGCGACAGTTTTGGGAATTGAGACAAAGTGCGAGAAGTGCCTGTGGACCAGGGAAAGCGAAAAGGGGTCGACAAATGGGAAAATGATACACTTTGCTTATTTTTACACACACATAGAATACAGCACACAGTACACAGCACACACACCCCGACACAAGCACACAAGCACACAAACACAGACACAGACACAATCAAGAAACAACAAATTGCCGCATAAATGTGGGGTGGTTCGCCACGTAATAGATTTTATTTTATTTTTATATCCGCCAGACGCGCTGGGAAAAAGTAGGGGAGGGGGGGGTTTATGTGAGTCGTGGCCTTACTTACTTTTACTTTTTACTTTTTACCTTTTGCTCCTGCCTTTCCGATCAGGAGTGTCCTCGGGAGGGGAGGAAAGGGGGGATGTCGGGGGAAATTCCCAGGACATTCTACACTGCCCGAAGTGCCGTTTTCGCTGGCAAAAAGGTTCGACATTTTTAGGGGAGTGTGGAAAATAAATTTCTCATACCAATAAATCTTAGTTTGACTCGTTTGTCTAATATTGATAATAATATTTAAAATTTGTTACCAGCTAAATAAAATTTGAAGGAAGTACACAAAACATTCTTTCTTCTTAAAGTGATTTAATAATTTTAGTTTCTACAAAACATATTCATGGCTATTTGTTTTGGTATCGTATGCAAGTTGGGTTATTAAATAATAAATCTTTATAGATCTAACCAACTTTTAGAAACAAAATAATATAAAAATTAAATCTTATTTTAATTTGGATAACCTGAATGTCCCTTAAGTAACGACTAAAAATATATTTCCTCTTTGTTCTCTTTGCAAAAAGCTATATTTTAGTTGGTAGAGAAAATTACTAAAAATCTTCCTTTAATTAGCTAGCTTAAATAAAACTCTAACTACTAACTAAATAAAATAATTAAAATATAGATGGTATGAGTATGAATATGAGTATGAGTATTTCTAACTATCATCAGCTTTTACTGGTAATACTCCCGAAACATTTTTCAATCTCCTTTAGGTGTACGACTTCTGACATACGACTCGTAAACTTTGCCGCCAAACAACAACCAACACGCACGCATACACGGCAATAAGTTTCAGGGTTAATGGCAACATATTGTTGCTGGCTCATCATGCGTGAGGAAGGAAATAACGAAGGAGCTGTGGAAAAGCGGCAAGACCGGCGTTTTCCCGCCTCCAGCGACCACCTGCCAACGTTTCCCGCCCACTCCTGCTTTAATTTTTTTCCCTACTCTTTTTATTTTCTTTTTTTTTTTGTTCGTTTCCCAACTTCTATGTTGCTCGTAATTTTTTACACATTGTGGTCCCAGCTTAACGGTTCTTCTACCGGCTGTTTTCCGGCCTGCTCTACTGGGAGACATATCAATATGGCCATGGGCGGGGAACCAACCCACCCACCCACTCAGCCACCCTCCTCACCGGCGTGTTTTCTTTTTTTCCACGTCACGCACACGGCGACGGAACAAGTGCAGCAGTGGTGCTCAGGTGTGGAGGGTAAAGTGGACAGGGAACACTCAAAAAAAAATGTACTAAAATGTAGTGCAGGACAATTGTATAATTTATATTAATAATTAATAATTTATTATAATTTTTATTAATTAGAAACAACACACAAAGTATTCATTAGCTGAATATACAAAACTTTTGGTTGTTTATTTTTTGTTACTCCGAATACTTAAAAACAAAACATTACATTAACATTATATTAGCAACATTTTTGTTTTTCGTTTTTTAATAATTTAAGCTATTTGTTGTTGTTTTTACTATAAACTTGTTGATAATTAGAATGGTCCACTTTAAAAAAAAACGTGACGTACTTGTTTTCAGCTTAAGAAACATTTGGGCAGTTTTCTTTACAATTTAAAATGTAAACTCGAAAGAAATATTCCAAATTTGTTTCCACTACCTTTAAAACTGAAAAGAATTGCATGTTTAATTTGCGATAAAATTGTGGAATTTATTTTCGGAGTGCAGAGGGAAAGTGGCAATCACACGCTGCGTCGCCAGTCTGTGCAATAAAAACAACAACCAAAAGCACAACGACACGCTGCACACACACACACACACACACACACGCACACACAACGAGAAGTACACAAGGACACGGGGGATTCCACGTATGCCCAAAGGGGGTGGGGGGTGGTAATAGAAATTACATACAAAGTAGCGAACACAAGGGAGTCGGGGGTTGCACAGGTTTTCACATCACATCCTTCTCGTTTCAACGTGTTTTCTCCCCTGTTTTTTCGCCTGCACTTCTCCTTCCCCTTCCCCCTCACCTTCACCCTCACCATCAATTTTTCGGCGGTGCGACATTAATATGTAGATGCATTAAGTACATTATCCGGGGTTACAACCTCCGGAATAACAAGAACCGGGGAAGCGTACGCAGCCAGCATCCAGAATTTGCTGGTGGAAGCAAGTTAAGAGCAACAATGGCACAGTGGTTGGGATATGATCGCAATCAAATTGGAAACTGATATAGTCATATAGAACACTAGGCTGAAAAGAACAGAAATTATTACCATTCCCATTTTTATAAATTTTTTTTTCATATTCAGATTTGCAGGTACATCATTAGTTATTGTTTTAAAGAAGAAAAATTAACATTTTACTATGCGGATAATATTTTAAATAATAAATAAAATACTTAATAAAGAAAATTAGTTTTATTTCAAATAATTGAGTAATTTTGAATATTAATAATAATAGAACTCTACATAAAAGTTGTACAAATTTAATGAACACTCATGTCAATACCAATAATTAAAAATATGTGAAAAAAAGGTAGATACCTGTTACTCAGCTTAACAACTTCAAAATAAACCCTTCCTTCTACCTGTTACAAAGCTGATAAACCAACCTGCTTAAAGATCAGCTTAAAGCTGTCAATATAGCAGATGAAGCCCACTGTGCCCAGGGGCGGGGTCACCGGGGGGGCAAGGGAAATATTATGATTTATTTTTATTATAGCGGGTAAAGTGGTCTTTACAAGCATCAAACGGGGCCACGCCAATCGCCCACAGACGCGTCGAGTAAAAAGGCAGTTAGTTGGTTTAGCCGAAAAAAAAGGAGCGGAATGGAAGGGCGGTCCAAAGGAGGTGGATTTCGAGTGGGAATGGGTGTGGGTGTGGGTGTGGGTGTGAGAGGCACAAGTTGTTAAATGGACGGGTGGATTTGCACTTGCCGTGCTGACTGTTATCTTCATTTTTGCTTTCAGTTATATTGCCTGGGAATTCCTGTGGGAGATGACGTACCCGGACTTGTACCCGTACCCGGGATCAGGGAAAATAACCTTCCTCCCCCTTCCTTTCCCCCTCCCCCCCCCAATTTCTCTACGCCCCGCCACACCACGGCTAAAACAAATTGTGTGCCGGGCATGAGCATGAGCATGGGCATGGGCATGGGCATAAAAACAAGCGGATCAAAC